TTGGTGTCAGTGGGAGGAATAGTGCCCCATCATTGGTATCAGTAGGAGGAATAGTGCCCCATCATTGGTGTCAGTGGGGAGAATAGTGCTCCATCATTGGTGTCAGTGGGGGGAATAGTGCCCCATCATTGGTGTCAGTGGGGGGAATAGCGCCCCATCATTGGTGTCAGTGGGGGGAATAGCGCCCCATCATTGGTGTCAGTGGGGGGAATAGCGCCCCATCACTGGTGTCAGTGGGGGGAATAGCGCCCCATCACTGGTGTCAGTGGGGGGGAATAGCGCCCCATCACTGGTGTCAGTGGGGGGAATAGCGCCCCATCACTGGTGTCAGTGGGGGGAATAGCGCCCCATCACTGGTGTCAGTGGGGGGAATAGCGCCCCATCACTGGTGTCAGTGGGGGGAATAGCGCCCCATCACTGGTGTCAGTGGGGGGAATAGCGCCCCATCACTGGTGTCAGTGTGGGGGGAATAGCGCCCCATCACTGGTGTCAGTGTGTGGGGGGAATAGCGCCCCATCACTGGTGTCAGTGTGGGGGGGAGGAATAGCGCCCCATCACTGGTGTCAGTGTGTGGGGGGGAGGAGGAATAGCGCCCCATCATTGGTGCCAGTGTGTGGGGGGGGGGGAGAAATAGCGCCCCGTCGTTGGTGCCAGTGTGTGGGGGGGGGGGGGAGGAAATAGCGCCCCGTCGTTGGTGTCAGTGGGGGGGGGGGGGGATAGTGTCCCATCTTTGGTGTCAATGGGAGGAATAGTACGTCATTGGTGTCAGTGGAGGGGAATAGTGCCCCGTCTTTGGTGTCAATGGGAGGAATAGTACGTCATTGGTGTCAATGGGAGGAATAATACGTCATTGGTGTCAGTGGGGGGGGGGAATAGTGCCCCATCTTTGGTGTCAGTGGGAGGAATAGTACGTCATTGGTGTCAGTGGAGGGGAATAGTGCCCCGTCGTTGGTGTCAGTGGGAGGAATAGTGCTCCATCGTTGGTGTCAGTGGGGGGGATAGTGTCCCATCGTTGGTGTCAGTGGGGGGGGATAGTGTCCCATCGTTGGTGTCAGTGTGGGGGGGGATAGTGTCTCATCGTTGGTGTCAGCGGGGGGGGGGGTGTCCCCATCGTAGTGTCCCATCGTTGGTGTCAGCGGGGGGGGGGGGGGGGGGGGGATAGTGTCCCATCGTTGGTGTCAGCAGGGGGGGGGGGGGGGGGGGGATAGTGTCCCCATCGTTGGTGTCAGCGGGGGGGGGGGGGGGGATAGTGTCCCATCGTTGGTGTCAGCGGGGGGGGGGGGGGGGGGGGGGGGGGGGGGGGGGGGGGATAGTGTCCCATCGTTGGTGTCAGCGGGGGGGGGGGGGGGATAGTGTCCCATCGTTGGTGTCAGCGGGGGGGGATAGTGTCCCATCGTTGATACCCATTGATGGGGCACTATTCCTCCCACTGACACCAATGACACGTAACTTGCTGATCCCTGCTCCAGCCTAGGTGCTACTGCAGCCAGCATAACTGGTTGCAGCAGCACCATCAGCACGGCACACTTATCTGTCAGCTGTGTCCTTCACTCCGGCCTTTCTCTCACTTGATGTTCGCGGGGGGCCGCTCGGCTCCGCCTCCTCACAGGTGATTGGCCGCCTGTGTGCCTTTTCTGAGCTACAGTTCTGGCGCCCAATCACTGGTGAGGAGGCGGAGCCGAGTGGCAGGAGTGAGGGAGTGTTCGGAGTGAATGAAGGAGCAGCACTTCCTGGACTGGATCGTCGTGGGACTGGAGCCAGGTAAGGTACAGCAGCCCCCTGCCCACCCCTGTACTTAGTGTCCCTTCCTGTCCCGCCCCTGCTGGCGGGCCGGATAAATGGCCTCGGTGGGCCGCAGTTTGAGGACCCCTGGTCTAGATTGATCATCATACTTTTTAATTCCTTCAATCTGTTTCTCCAAGGATTGTATCTCAGGGCTTTTATCCTGCAGGGGCATGTATTTTCCAATTGTGCTTGTATTTGCGTTTGCATTTAAATTTGGTTGTTTTTTTTGTTTTTTTTTACCCCCCCCCCTTCCTTTTTAAAGATCTACCCTTCATTTCGTTTAAGGATTTACAGTTAGTTTTCCTCTATTCCAAGAATTGCTGACCCCGAGGTAGCATTCTTTCTGCTTCTATTGGGGTCCCAAGTACCCCCTTGTGTCTTATTTAAATAAAATAGTCCTGCCAGCCCCTGAGACCCCCTGAAAAAGTTATTTTCCATCCACACTCTTTGTCCCAGCAGACACTTATTTGCAATAGGCACTACAGTTCTTTAAGGATATCTTTTTTCTTTTTTTTTATTCCGCTACCAGCGGCACCTCACCATCACTGTCCATGCCACAGGTATGGGACTACTTGCGGACTGCTTTCATATTCCTTTGTTCTCCCCGTTTTTAAAGGAGAGGTTTTTTTTTTCAGGTGCTTGCGTGGTTTGCTAGTTTTCCTTTTTGTTATCCCCCCCCCCCCGCCCCCCATCATTGGGACATTGCTTTGGGACATCCCTACAGTCAAGATTAAGGAGAGCTGTGTCTGCCAATGAATGCAAAAGAAAGAAACTGTTTTTTTGTTGCTCACTGTAAAATCCCTTTTTGAGTTCCTTGAAGGACACAGCAGCTGCCTGTCTTATGGCTGTGTTTTTTCTTTGTGCTGCTTTGTGACTAACTGAGCTTCTTATAGCAAAGAAGGGGTTATACCAGCTAGGACTACCCAAAGGCAGTACTGAATTGTTTTTTTTTTTTTTTTTTCTGCCTAGTGTTCTACTCCTGTAGGTGGCGCTATAAATCCTATGGCCAAGATTAAAGTGGAACTTTAGTCAGAAAATTAATTCTTGCTAGATCACTTCAGGCTGTCTCATTTTGCTAGTATTGCTCTGTAAAACATTAAAAGTAAGTACCTATACTTTAAATTCCAGTAATATACTGTCTCACCCTGCTCTGCACATGCTCAGTTGCTCTGTTTTTAGGTATTTTTTGGCACTGCCAAATTTGCAGAGGCCAATCTGTTGACAGTCTAAAGATTTTAAAGCAGACTTACTCACCAGTCACACCGCTGCGATTTAAGATGGCGCGATTTGTCTGCAATTTCAGGTGCGATTTCTGAAGACTTTATTGCGACTTTTTAGCGAAATCATGCGATTTCCATTGAATTCGAAGTATGTGAAATCGCAATACAGTAATAGCTCGGTTTACAAATTTAATTCGTTGTGCAGAACTTTTCGTATAGGGAAAAATTTATAAAGTGAAACGCCGTTTCCTATAGGAATGCTTTGAAAACCAAGTAATCTGTTCTGGAGATCAGAAAACTGTAAACGCTACTAAAATACTGCATAAGTTATTTTATCAAGTCATGCAGCATTTTAGTAGTGACAACCATGTGTTAATGATTCAGCTGCCAGCGGGGTTCCCCATTGACAGCTGAATGTAAAAGAATTGCTGGCAATTAAAAAAATAATTTAAAAAAAACGGCGTGGGGTCCCCCCCCCCATACATACCAAGCCATTCAGGTCTGGTATGAATTTTGAGGGGAACTCCCACACAAACGGTTTTAAAAAGAATTGGCGTGGGGGTCCCTCCCCAAAATCCCTACCAGACCCTTATCCGAGCAAGCAGCCCGGCAGGGCCACATGTCCTCAACATGGGGGGGGGGTACTTTGCGGCGGCAGGGGAGCCTCCCCAATGGATTTTCATTCGTAAACCGAAAATTATGCTAGCCAAGGCTTTTGTACATCGAGGTATTACTGTAAACTGCATAAAAAGTAATGCAAAAAGTGTTTTAGAAATAGGGATGCAGCAAGTCACACTTGTTAAGACACTAAACATTCATTAGATGTGATTTCAGGTGCGATTTTTCAATTTGCCTGAAATTGCACCTGGCATTGAACCTATCAATTTAACAGTTTCAAAAAACCCTTACATTCCCAACATGCCTGGAATGCTAACTGTCACATTTGCTTGTGTTCTCAACCAAATTGTCAAACCATCAAATGATGTTACAACTGAACACATGTACTGGTCTGAAAAGAATAGGAGGGTTTAATTCTGCTTTAACCACTGCTCAAGGGCTTTGGGCTTCAACAAAACAGCAGCCTCCAGCAAGAAGGAACCGGAACAATGCTGGAGACCGTTTACTCATATGTTCTTTTGCAAGGAAGTGTCTGCTGTAAAGTTTTTTTGCTTTAGAGCTGTGTCCGTTGGTGAACTCAGAGAAAGGGATTTCAGTGAGAAGCAAAAGTTTGCACGAAGGATGAATGCAATTTCATGAGAAGCGTTCTCAAAAGCAAATGCAAAAAATTTGTCAAAAATCTACACGTTAAACATGAGTGCATGAACCAACCCTAATGTCTTTTCCAAATCTATGTACCACCTTTGAAAGGGTCCAGGGTATTTTGTTGCTGGCTGTGGGGGGTCTTTTTTTGTAACCGTAAGGGCATCTACTCATGTAGTTCTTGGGACTACATGGTCACATCACATCTTCATTCCCAGACACTGGGGCTGATTTATTAAAGGCAAAAAGGCTGTCCAATGAGCTCTAGAGAAACTTCCTTTGCAAAACTGAATGAGGTGAAGCTCTGCTGATTTTCATCATCCAGTCATGTGCAAGCAGAATTTAGGAGCTCCAAGCAGGAAAATTTTCAGAGCCTCAAGGGTGGTGTAAAATATATATTAGAACATGCTTTCACAGTACTTGTTTTCGGGCTTTCTCCTTTTGAAATGGTACTAAATGACACACCTATGCTTCTGCTGGGAAGTCTGGAAAACCTATGTCAGTACTACTAGCTGAGAACTTTGAAGGCAAAACGGACTGCTATTAGCAACTAGTGGGATTGATTCAGTTTGTTTCACAGTTTTCTCAGAGTAAGGGCTGAAATCTGGTTGGTTGCTTTTGCCAACAGTTCCTCTTTTGCTGCATTTTAGAGGTTCATAAAATTTTTAATAGGAAATTCTAGAAATGGATTGACTTTTATTTCACTGTGTTATGGGTTTCTTTTTTCTCCCTTAGGTTTAGATAAAATAGAGTTTCTGCAGAGCCATGAAAATCAGGAAATTTACCAGAAAGCTTTTGAATTGATAGAACATTACTTTGGTGTAGAAGATGATGATCCTCAGTTGGTTCCATCTGTGGATGAAGCTCCACAACAGTTCATCTTTCAGCAAACAGAGGCTCCTATGGAGGGATTCCAGCTATAATCGGAATAGGACAGTCACACCACCCTTCTACATCAGGTTCCATTCAGTTGGAAGCAGCACTTCACGCCGGAGTAAAGTTAAATACAGTTTATTAGAAGAGATTTTGTCCCCTTCCTCTTATTCTTGCGCTTTGTATGTGCAGACAAAGCTGTGATTCTAATGGCGATGTGAATGCCTCAGTTTAAACTCCATGAGCTCAACCTTTATGCTGCTTTTTGTGAGGTTTGTATGTAAAATGCATACTTGCCTCCAGCTCTGAACTTTCTCTGCTTCAAAGGGTCCTGTAATTTTTTTTTCCTTCCCTTTTGGTTGATTTCAAAAAGGACTTTCAGAATTTAAAACGCATTAGAATGAAATGCGTTGAGCCTTCTTTTGTGCAGAAGCACATGGAGCAAAAGGAATTGTACATTTTTTTTTTTTCTTTTTTTTGTGAAAGAGATATTTGGTATTTAAAGAAGAAAAAGGAATAAATGAGTAAAATGTCTGAACAGCAGTAAGCAGTAGTAATCAAAATGAAGCCGTAGTTTGGATACCTTCATAAGTGGTAACTGATGGTCACTGAACATGGCTTTAGGTATTGTTTCAGCAGTCATTTCATCAGGAGTTTATTTGCCAGTGGCCCCATACTGTACTTGGCTTTATATTGGGCTGGGTGCTTGCTGGCAACGCAACCTCCTGCGTGCCTTATCATTACCTGCCTCCAGTGGCAGTTTTCTCATATTTGTTTCTGATTATCTGCCTCCTAATGCAAAGATTTTTCATTGTAATTTGTTTGCCACAACCGTTTATGGTAGTGTTCTCAACAAGGTTCTACCTGAAACTCATTTAAACTGTGCCTGTTATTAACATACTTTAAAGGACAATTTATGCCATGAACCAATCCATTTTGGAAGGCAGGTTAACCTATAATTATAGAAAACTGGGAAAGTTCAGTGCAAAGAAAAAACAGAAAATGAATAAAAACGGATGTGGAATTAGGACTTTGTGCCCATCATAATCCATAAAGGGTTCATTTTATTCCCATCCTGACACACTTGACTGCAGCGCCTCTAAAAAAAACAAAAAACAAAAAAAAAACACTGGAGAAATCTCTGTGGAAAACAAGGGTGCACAAGAGGGCGCAAGACTAAGTATTAAGACTATTAAAAAGCTTTAATGGATAAAAGACAATTGGTAACGCAAGAAATAAAATGGAGAACTGCGTCCGTCATCAAAGTGTCATTCACTTTTGTAATTGATACTGGGAGCTTTCCTTTTATAGGAATCTAGGTTTATCGGTAATGGATGGCTTCAAATGGGGGTCTTGTAGGAGGATGATGGCTCAGTGCTTGGCAAAGATTTTTTTCCATCCTCCTGATATTGGCTATGGTACTGAGTGGTAAATCTCGCTGTGCTACCTTCATTAGTTTAGTTTTAGCTATTTTTTATCTTGACTGGCTGCAGTAAGATAAAAATTTATAAGCTTTGTCAACTAACTCTAATGAATAGACCTTGTCAGAAAACTGTTTTTAAGACTCCAACTCTGCTGGATATAATCTTCTCTGGTACAGTTTGCCTCAGTCTGCAAAATTAACTTTCAGGGATATTTTTATCCAGCTTGGGTGATGGTAGATCATATAGTGTAAATTGGATTTTCCCGCTACAGGTTCAGTGTAGTTTTTTTGCTATAGTGTATTCTGAGTTCATGCTCGAAAATGGCTAGTAATGTGGTATATCACTATGTGTATATTACCACAAAAAAAAAATGTTTAAATTCAGTTTGTGAAAAATGTCCATCACAAGGAATAGTGTATTTTCCCAAAGAAAAGGACCCCCACCAAACCCCAAAAGGTTTCTGCTCACCTTAAAGTGGTTGTAAACCTCAGACCTGAAATATGAACAAAGCATATGTCTCTATAGTATTCTTGTTTAAGTTAAGAGCACGCATTTCCGTCTGCTGCTTTGTTCCTCGATCAGCATGAAGCACTTCTGACACTTTTTTTTTTTTTTTTTTTTTTTTTTTTCTTGGTGTCAGAAAAGCTTAACAGGAGGGATCTCCAGCACCACAGCCTGTGATTGACAGCCTTAGCTCTGTTCCTGTGTGCTATGTGAGGGGGGCTGTGTCCATTCCCTTGGCTGTCAGAGCTCTCCTCACTGAGCTATGCGGTGTGTCATTTCAGCTCTCTGTCCCCTGTTTTCTGGTAGCTCAGACAAGCTTTCTAAATTCTGCACTTTGAACTGATGTAGAGAGAAAAGAATCTTGCAGATAAACGCGTACATCTCTTTCATCAGTTTACCACCTGAGTCTACTCCCTTCACTGGGTATATCTAAGGGTTTACCACTTTTGATAGTTGACCCGTATCACAAAGGGCACATAACACTTTTAGGACCCAGATAGCAACAAGATTCCTCCAGGCAGCAAAGGTCTAAACTCTAGTTAAATTACCATCCACTGCTGAGTCTCCAAAAATGCTTTCTGGCACAAGTACAATTAATTGGATCCAACAATTATGCTCTTGAATAAATTTAAAACCAACCATTGAGTTCTCAATTTGCTCTTTATTCTAAAAGAATTAAAAATGCACACGTAATGTTCCAGATAGAATCACTTTGTACAGAAAGTCTGCTGCAATGAAGATAAACCGCTCACAAGAGCAAAGATCACTCCCCTCAGTAAACAGCCAGATCTTCCTCAGACTCCCAGGCTCCACCCAACATGTTTCGTCAATCATGAAGTCTTCAGGGACCCAGCTTGATTAACGAAACATGTTGGGCTCCTTAGTTTCCTTTTAATACAGTGAACTTCTTTATTCTCATAAGGTTATCCTAAACTGCTCAGCCCTGCCTTGTCTGTGGCATCTACTAAGCAGTCCTAAGGAATCTATTCGTAAAGTGGCTTGCTGGACCATTTCTAATATCACAGCTGGAAACCGAGCCTAAATACAGGTAATGTGTGCATATCGCAAATTTAAAACTTTATATGAGTAGCTCGTTTTTTATGCAAGGTTTTAAGCAGTACCTGTTCTTTTTTTTTTTTCTTAGGCTGTTGTGGATGCCAATATATTTGCACTGTTAATTGAAATTTTACAAAGGCAGAGTTTCGAACTTTTAAAGATGCCATATGGGCTATTACAAATGCCACATTTGGAGGCACTGCAGAACAGAATAGGTAAGATCATGTGTATTCATTTAACTAGAAACCATTTGGAATTCTGTTTACCTTTTCTCTAGGTACCTGGTAAACCTGGGCTGCACTAAGCCACTCTGTGACCTCCTTACTGTCATGGATTCTAAACGTTGCCCTAATCTTCAAAAATATTCTTGAACTTGGGGAGCAAGAGGCAACACAGAGGAGATGGTGGAAAAAAACACGTATGTTAATTAAGACTTTACTGTCATGGATTCTAAGATAGACACTGCACAACTGATGAAACATTGTAGGCGAAGCCTTGGAGTCTGAGGTGGAGCAAGCTGTTTGCTCAGTGAAGTGATCTTTGCTCTTTGCTGAGTGGCTTATATTCACTGCAATGCTGCTGACTTTCTGTACAAAGTGATTCTACCTGCAACACTATGTGAGTGCATTTTTATTTAATAAATAGCAAGCAAAACACTATGGTTTGTTTCAGTTTTATTTGAGAGCATAATTTTGGGATCCAGCTAATCCTGCTTGTGCCAGACTCGGCAGGAGTTAGTAGTTTAATTGGGTTTTACATCTTTGCTGCCTGGAGGAATTTTGTTGTAATCTGGGTCCTAAAAGTGATGTTATGCGCAGTTGTGTTAAGGGTCAAATATGGCGAGCGGACATCTTTTGGGATATAGTTTAGGTCCTTTTCTTTGGGAGAATGCATGCATTGCAAGTGTTACAATTGGATGGATTATCGCATACTGAATTTATACTGTCAATTTCTGTCACTAGGTCTATAAAGCTGTACCCCGCCAGATGCACATAGAGAATGGAGTGATCAGACCGTTGCTCGCTCAGTCTCTCGGGTCTGCTCTGAGCACAGTGTGGTGACTGTCAGTCACCACTTTGTGCTCTGTCCCTTCATCGCTTACTAGTGTGCCGGACTGTGGGGGAGGGGCAGGATCAGCTGGCTCAGACTCTCTGCAGTGTGATGATAGGCTGAGCCAACTGCTGGTCAGGCATCTGGGTGGATCCTAACATTGTTAGGATCCCTGCAGAGCCTTGACAGGCTCTGTGACATCAACCAACAGCAGACTTTAGCCTGCTGTTGGCTGAATCTGTGTCATAGGAGTCCAGAACTAGGTGCACTCCTGTAACCCACAGAAGTATGGCCAAAAGAGCTTTGGCCATACTTCTCTCTTTTAATAATTGGTTTCCTGAAAAGTTTTGTTAAGGGTGTAAGTGATGGGCATTCTTTGAAGCTCTGTGTTAAACTCTCACCATGCAGTCTCAATGAACAGCAGGGCAGTTCTGCTGTAACTGATGGTTTTGGAATTCTGCATCCGGTTTGCGCCTTCTAGCAACGTCACTAACACTTAGTTTATTTTCTTTAACACTTGTGACAATAGCCTGTGCTGGTGTGGAATGCAGAAAGAAATGTATCTACTTGAATTAAAGTTCTACTTAGCTGGCTTTTTATTCTCCCCTCATTTTCACTTGTTCTGGTTATTACAGTAAATGTTTAATATACTTTTAAAAGTTTCTGAATATTTCTATGGCGTCAGGTCTAAAAAAAAAAAAAAAAAGACACATTCTTCCAGATACCACCCACAAGTATTCCAAGTCATCACGAAAGGGATCAGACCCAGCTCATTCTGTGTTTAAAATGCTGTATTTTTAATATGTCAGAGCATTGTTACAGCCATATTGGCTGTGATGTTTCATTGTCTCAGTACTAAGAGCTGGATTTATTTGTGACAGCAATCAAATAAATTGAAACCTGTTCAGAACTGATACATGTTTCTAGTTTATGGTATTGACACTTGGATACATGAGGATTATTAGATGTTAAAGCAAAACTGTATTTCATTTTACTGTCCAACTGAACATTTTAGT